CTACTTCTTAAAGTATTAGAGTGGCAAGGTTATGTGGTATAGTAGTTCATCTGTAATAGGAAGTGATCAGCTCACCTCTATAATTGCTTTCCTAGAGCTCAAGGCATAGATTTGCCATGAACCTTTAATTCCCTCTCATACACCACCTACTACATCTTGTCTCCTGCTCTGTTTCTATGACATAGGTACAATTCATTTTCCCAGCATTTTGTGGTAACATCTGCCTGGCTCCACAATCTTATGTGCTGCATGCAATAAATCAGCAACAAGCAGAATTTCCCAAGAGTCTAGTATAGATTGCTTTTTTCAAACTTAAACTCCGCGCTGTCCTCTTACCTAACATATGCCCTGATTTAGAGAAATTCCCCTCTCATGAAACCACCTTCAGTCCAGCCACTGTTTGCATCTGCCTCTACACTTGTTGAACAGAACTCCAGAGATTTATTTTTTCTAGGGCACTCTAATATTCTGATCTTGACAATATGCAAGAAAAGATTTCCAGGGACAAATGTAAGACTAAAGTAAGCATTTAGTAATACTCTTCTATTCTTCAGCTCTTTGTGACTTAAAGAGAATTCCTTCTTGAGTTTATAGATAACATGTACTCTTTTATATATGCCTTTGTATTCTTTACTACTTGTTGAATCATCTTTTTAACTATTTATGTTTTTAGCGTCTGTAGGCTATGTCAGTAGTATGAAATTAAACAGAGCCAGGAAATATTCCCAAACTCGAACTAGATCATCTGCTAAGCTGTTATAACAGTTGCTAGCAGAATTTTGGCTCATACCAATTAGAGCTCTTTCAAATATTTCCTAGGCACAATTTTGGAGTTAAGCACAAACTAGGACCATTCCTAATAGATAGACTGTATGCAGTTACTCTGTCTTGGAGGCTACAAGAGTTTAGTGCAAATACCAGCTGTCCCTTGCCAGTTATCCTCAGTGCCAGAAAATTGTGATCTAAATGTATCTGTGTCTAACATATCTAGTCTGAACATCCTAACATAACAAGGAATTATATAGTTTATTCTTGATTTGTACTAAAACCCAATTTTTTCAATTCACATTCCCTATTTCTTGTTTGTTTACCTTGTTCGTGTAATTATTAAGCCACGTAACAAGACGTATAAAATAGGTGCAGTATTAAGAAATAATTTAAGGGCCACATCTAGGCTAATGTAGCAGAAAGCTAAAGTCAGATGAGATATCTTTACTTAAATGGGGTGATTCACTAAATTATTTTTATTAGCAAAAATATGTTGAGAAAGCATTCAGATGTGTAGCATATATGTATAATATATCTTTATAAACAATGAAATTTATTAAAGGGTAACATAATTGCCTGCAAAGCAGAGTGTGTTTTTAAAAGCACACTAGCATATTGCTAAATCTGGTAACTCAGTTAGGAAATATTTAGGATATTTTATTACAGATATGCTTTCTGAAATTCAGCCTTCAGATATATTAATTTGGATGATGGCCAGGCTCTCTGATCCTATTAACCACATTTGAAAACCCGCACATGGCTGGAAAAATATAACATCTGTACCACATTTCAGAATAGTAGTAAGGGAACTCTGTGAGTAATTCACCATCAAAGAATTACAAGGTCTTCTATCACTAGGCCAGTATGTGTCAGGGGACAGGGATAGCCTGGTAATTTTGACCTAATAACTCCGAGGACCCCACGTTCTCCCTTAGATTCACTCAGAAGTTTTGATCCAAGACCTCTTTGTTGATAGTTATGCAATGAATCCCTAGAATGGAAATTTTACTTGAACTGCTGGGAAGTCAGCAGTTGTCCACCACGTTCAAAATTCATATCCTCACCTTATTTAAAATGACTAAAAAAACTTGTCTATGATCTGAGTGAGAATGTTAACAAAACTACCCTCTTATCACAGGGCTACATTCATGACAAAGTCTTTCTTTCTGCTATTCTGGTCCATAGGAAAAAAGGGGATGGTATTTTTTATTAGACACAAATTGTAAAATAAAGTAAAGATGAATGTTTCCAAGTATAATAATTTTTAATACACTTCTCATCACTTTTCAATTCCGCTACAGTAAGGTCAAAGTTTATACTAGCCTATTCTAATGCCAGAAATGGTCAATAGATAATTAGCTACCTATACATTAAAAATAATTCCTTCACCTCTCTGTTGAGTCCAATAGTACATATGTGGCTGATATGTAGCTTGAGTTAATAGATCAAGATCCAAAAAGTATCCAGCATTTATATGGGAGTAAAGAGAGAGAGAAAGGATCCATTAATTCTCAGAGGAATTTCTTCTGGGAGCACATCATCCTCATTTTTCAAACTTTTATCTTATTTCCAGTTTGAATATGGCTAGGTCTAGACTGGTTTCAGATTTTAGTCAAGCATTTGTTTGACTACCTCCAAGAGTGTGCAGATGTTGCCTCTGGGCTGACTGTATTGTGTTTGTGTGGCAAGTTTTGGTAGCGAGGGCGCTAGAGGCATGGATTCTGTAAGAAGTTGCCAGAAGCTTCCCCCATGTCTGACAGAGCCAATGCCAGCTGTCTCCAAGACAGACTTGCCCCTGGCCAAGGCCAAGGACATCAGAAACAGTGTTAGCACCTCTGGAATAGCAGACTTAAGAAGCAGGGGGGGAAATGTATAAGAGCAACCAGAGAGAGAAGAGACAATATATGAAAGAAACAGCCCTACAGACCCCAAAGTCAGTGAGGAAGGAGGGGAAGGAGGTGCTCCAGAGGCCTGTGCTGAGATTCTCCTGTAGCCCACAATGCAGACCATAGTGAAGTATAGACTGTCCCTCTGCAGCCCCTCGAAGCCCACAGTGGAGCAGAGTTCCACATGCAGTCCATGAAGGACCCCACTCTAGAGCAGGTTGATGCCTGAAGGAGGCTGTGACCTCATGGGAAATCTGTGCTGGAGTAGGCTCCTGACAGGATCTATGGCCCCATGGAGAGAGGAGCCCATGATGGAGCAGGTTTGCTGGCAGGACTTATGACCCCATGAGGAATCCACACTGGAACAGCCTGTTCCTGAAGGACTGCGCCCCATGGGAAGGACTCACAATGGAGAAGTTCATGGAGGATCATCTGCCGTGGGAGAGAATCCACACTGAAGCAGGGAAAGAGTGTTGGGAATCCCCTCTCTGAGGAGGAAGGACCAGCAGAGACAACTTGTGATGAACACAATGGCCATTCCCCATCTCCCCACACCACTGTGGGGAGGAAGTAGGCAATTTGAAGTGAAGCTGTACCTGGGAAAAAGGGAGGAGTGGGAAAAGATGTTTTAATATTTGGTTTTATTTTTCAATACCCTACTCTGATTTGATTGATAATAAATTAAATTAATTTTCCCCAAGTCAAGTCTGTTTTGTCCATGATGATAACAGGTGAATGATGTCTCCTTGTCCTTATCTCAACCCACTACACTTTCACTATATTGTCTCTTCCCTGTACAGCTGAGGAGGGGAATGATAGAGTGGATTATGTGGGCAACTGATGTCCAAACAGGGTCACCCCACCACGCTGACACTGATAAAACAAAACATGAAAGAAAGACTCTGACCCTGTGATTTCAGCAGAATTTAGTGAAAGCAGAAACAGAGTTGCTAAAATTTTTTTAAAAAAGAAAAGGAGAAGTTCACACATTCAAGCACAAATATCTTCAATAATTAGCAATAACAGCAAGGGGAACACAATTACAGGCAGACTAAATTGCTTTTTATTTAAATGTTCTCTTTTTAAAATGTATCCCAGTGTGAAAGTCCCTCTTTAAATTAGTGAGAGCATGCATAATCTCAATGTCTCCACTGGGGGTTGTAGGAATATATGTTCTCTCACTTGCTTAGTTGTGCATTTAGGGGATTAGAAGAAAATTATACAGCCCTGGGTACTTTATAATGACAGATATCAATAGTAATTTAGCTAATTGAGTGTATTCCAGCTTTATTTTAATTTACTGGTGTTTTTCACTTTATTCTTTGTTATTTAGTTCTGCCTCAGTATTCTATTACAACTATAAGCCTTGACCCTGCAAACTCTTTCTTGTAGAAATAGACTTTTCTTTCTATATGAGGAAGGAGTTTTACAAGTAGATCTGTATCCATTAGAGAACACTTAAGAAACTAGGGCAAAGAAATGCCTATCTCAGTTTCTAAAACTTTTTCAATCTACCACAAAATAAATCCAATGTTTCTGTAAGAAAGAGAAAGTGTTTTAAAACATAAGCAGTTTCAGTTTTGTTCATCTCATTCAACTTTGTTCTCTGTTTTCCTGTAAAATAGAAAATTAAACTACATGGGTGAAAAAATCATAGAGCTCCCAAATTTGTAAGCACTTGGTGAAATGTACTGTATATTGAAATTTAGAGGTTTTGCCAAGCTCTGATAAAACAAATAAATCACCCTTCTTGGAGAAATTTTTTCATGGTTTACTGAATATTCTGAACATGCTGCAAACTCAACTGAAAGTAATAATAAAATCTAATCAAAACTATTACCCATTTGTAGACAAGAAGAAGGTTAAGAAAATGAATCATGATTTTTATAAAGTATTTTCTGGAAGGATTAGCTCCTGTAATTCTCGTAGGCTATGAGAAAGCCTTTGTCTCTTTGCTATTCCTACCCTTACTGTAATGTCAGTGTACCTCACAACTCTTACTGTATTTAACACAATAATGTATTAATATAGAGAGTTCATTTTCTTCATACAAGCCTATATCATGCTATTTTTTGAATTTGAGTTGAAAATGCAACACAAGTGTTGTTAACCTAGGGGTGTTTTAATTATTGTTGAACAGTGCTTACAACACATAGGGGAACTTTTAGTTTCTCAACCTTCCCTGACAGTAAGGAGGCTGGGGGTGCACAAGAAGTTGAGAGGGGATGCAGCTGGGTAATGAAAACATTACCACCATATAGGTATATTCCACACAATATGACATCATGCTCAGCAATAAGTGCTGCAGGGAAGAAGGAGGAAGGGAGAGAACATTTGGAGTGATTACGTTTCTCTTCTCAAGTCACTGTTACATGAGGTGGAGCCCTGCTTTCCTAGAGACAGACAAACACGTACCTGCCCGTGCAAAGTGTTGAATGAATTCCTTACTTTGTTTCTGAGTGCATCTATGCTTTACCTATTAAAGTGCCTTTATCTCAACACACAAGTTTTCGTGCTTTTGCCTTTCTGATTCTCTCCCCCATCCCATTGGTGTGGACTGAGCAAGTGGCTGTGTGGGGCTGAGCTGCACGCTGGGGTTAAACCACAACACAACTCCATGAATTATAAACTTTATTTAATAGATGGGGAAAATAGAGCAAACATAGCAAGCAGACCTATTGAATATCCCTGAGCAAGTCTATGACTCTAAGAAACTGAAGATTTCTTGTCATAGGCTAGAAAACAATACTTTGTCCATTTTTCCTGTAATTTGTTACTTCTATTTGCAAAGTACACGCAGATAAAACAGCCCACACAAAAATGATAGAATTTTCCTTGATAACTGAAGAGGATGTAGGTCAATCTCCTCACAGAAAATACTACACTAAAAAAGTAAATTGCATCTGGGGTTTTGGATGTACCCTCTGCAATCCATATTTAGCTATTTCTTTTACAATGGGGAAGACATGCTTCTTATTGTGATTAAACTGTTTCCCAAAAGTCTTTCAAAACTAGAATTGCAAATATGCTTTTGTAGTTCTTCAGTTTGTTTGTTTGGTTTGCTCTCTTCAAGGCCTGACCTCTCCATCACAGAGGTCACAGTTCCCTAAGCCTACACGAAATCATATCTTTTCAAACTGGGACTGCTGGAGCAGAAGGCACTGAACACATCCTTGATGTGAAACCTCAGTGGTTGTGTTACTCTAGAAAATGCAGAACCCTGTGGTAGGCCAAAAAATCCTATTACTCTCTAACACTCCAATACGGTTTTATTGGAACTCTGTATTTCAAAGTTGAATACATTGGACTTTTAGCTCTGCTATAAGCCTGACTAGGAGTGAATTTTATAAGTGTTCTTATAGTTTAAATTAGACCATGTCCAAATGCATTATTGCTATTAGACATTAGCTATTCAAATTACTTTATAAATATGTACTGCCTATAGAAAACATGAATGGAAACCACACTTATTCTACGTCTTTTTTGTACAATGATAAAAATAAATCCCACATTATAGAAACATGCAAAATTGAAATTTTCACAATACAACCATAGAGTTGGCAATATCAAAAATACAGTTAATTTTGCCTTGGCAAATATAGGGCATAGCTTGGAACTTTATCAAAGCTTTTAAAAAAAGTCTTTTAAATACTGTTTTTTCCTGGATTTTACTGAACTCTTGGGAATCAGTTGCTTGTAGCTGATGTAGAACTGTTGAGATAACTGATGACATAACACGTCAACAACATGAATAGTCTGATGCCACAATAAATTTCAACAATCTAACATTGTAAGCATCAAGAGAAAACAAAATAGAGCAACAATTTTATCCCAAAAGGATAAAATACTTCTTCTGTGGACTATACTGAAAAGGAAAACAGTAGGTGTATGCGTGTTGAGACCTAGAGAATCTTGTTGCAGGGTGAAAGGTTGGTGTGGTCTTCTAGATCATAGTCCTGTTATACACAGAGCAACCTGACCTTTAAACCCATGAGAACTCCATGCAATTTAGGCATGTAGTTTATCCATCTATAAGCATTAATAAGTCAGTACATGATTGTTTCCTACAGTATATTATCAAGTGCTTCATCCAGTATAGTATTAAATAATTCACGTTGGGCTTCCAATACTTCCACGGGGAGATTACTATGGACTAATAGACCTCACAGGAAGTTTTATTGGTGTAAAGTCTGCATTTTTCTTAGTTCATTTTCATTCAGTTGTTTCCAGTTATGGTGCCTTGGACCTCTCAAAGCAAATTCTATGCCTCCTAGATGTTTACACTATTCAGTTGCTTGTAGTGATATATTGCATCCTCTAGTAATGAGTTTCTGGCCAGTGGTATCCACTCTGTTATTTTTTACTCTTCCTTCATAATCTGTCTTCCTCAGTATATTTTTATGTTGACTTTCTTGACATGATAATTAGTTGTAAATTGGTGTATTAGCAGCAACCTTGAAATCAGATTGTTTAATATGGAAAATATATGGACCAAGAACTAACTTAAAAAACTTGGCCGGTACATTCTCACATACTTATTTCATCATCCAGCATCAAGGATATTTTGAAAAATTTGTGTTCTTAGTGAAAACACATCAACAGTTGAAAACTGAAGTCCCAGTTGGGACTGTATGATTTAATGACTCTCGCTTAGCATCAATCTTATGTCATTAATTTTCTGAAATGAACCATATTGACAAGCATGTACACAAGTTATTTAGCCATGACCTGCCACTGTTTTTCAGTTGTTCATGCCAAATGAGAGCATACAATATGACTAGAAGTCCCCTGAAATATTGTTGAAGATTATTGTCTGAGGCAGATGCTTGCATTTGACTGGCCTACATATTCCAGTCTTATGTACTATGGAATTCCTTCCCTCTTTATAAGAGGTTTGTGATATGGAAATTTAAACAAAAATTCAAATCCTTCGTGACCACTGCAAAGCAGTAAAAATCTTACAGTTCTGAATTTAAAACTCATGGGTGTACTGTAATTAATAGGAATATTTAGGAATAATTACATGTGATTTTCTTTTCCTTTTAGTGTAAGCTTTTATAAGCTACTCAATTAAGTCTCCAGCAGCACCTTCCAGCTTAGTAACTTAGCTGAACATAAAAGGGAGAATTTTGTTATTTAAATAGTTCTAAAGATAAATTATTCCTTTTTTTTTCTCAAGCAATATAGAATTTGTAAGGAAATACTGCAGTGGGTTTTCACCTGTCTTCTTAGAGTTTTCAATCTTTTCACCATGTTTTGTTTCATGCTATTTAGTTATAAGCCTTAGTAATGTATTGTCAGCATGATTAAGAAGGCACTGAAAATAAAGCATGGGGATAGTTAGAATCAACTTAGATTTTAAGTATTTTTAATTTTGGATGTAAATTTTAATGAAAAACATATTTCCAATGGCAATGGAAGACTTTCAAATCACTCAGTTTAGACCTTCAGAACAGACATTTAACTTAGTATAAGTGTGCAGGTTGCCTGCATAGTAAACAGAGAAAGCTAGCAATGTTAAAAGGCTCTTTGGAAACTACCATCTTGTTTTACTATATTTGTAATTTTTGCTAAAAGAGTTGAAAACAAAGGAAAGTAGTTGCTCTTAAAAATTTCAATGAAAGACCAGACTACTACTTAAACCAGCAGCAGCTGTTTCAGAGATGCGTGTTAAAAGGTTTCCAGTAGTTTAGGTGACAGATTTTCATGAAGTTATTTCTAACTCACAAAAATATCAGTGAATATTCTTTTCAATTCTTTCTTTCCTTCCTTCTTTTTCTTTCTTTTCTTTCTTTCTTTCTTTCTCTCCTCTGCATCTATTTAACAAATTGTGCTATCATATCAAATGCACAGAAGTAATGTATAGTATCAAAAACTCAGCATATGACAATAACTAATGGTACCCAAGGACTTTACTCAGTCAGATGCTCATGACCATGTGTCACTTTCCTTACTTCAGCACCACTTCGGAAGCCATATAGTCTTGTTATAATTAGTCCTTTGGAGAGGCAAGATTTACCAATTCAGCCAGAAGACCAGAGTTCACGGGTTTTTTGTTTTGCAACTCAGAGCATGAACAAAGGTTCTTGCACTCACCTGAACCCAAGAGTGTAAACACATCCAAAATGACCCAACTTGTTCCTACATGTATGATGAATATTGACCTCTGATGACTTTTGCAGTATATAGTAGCAAAAAAATATATACCTCTCTCTGCTCTTACCTACTAGAGCACTTATATTTTCTCCCGTCAAGTGATTTTTAAAATCATAACTCAAAACTTGTAGTCATTTTTAAAAAGGAAAAAAATGCAGAACTGATGGTAGAAATATGAGGGCATTGCTGAATACCTACCCAGACCTCCTGCATTTTGGAGTAAAGACAGTTCTCAGTTAATAAATAATAAATAAATAAATAAATACATAAATACATAAATACATAAATACATAAATACATAAATACATAAATAATGTCCCAACCAATGCAACTTACATATTTGACTCAATGTTTACAACAAATAAGCAAAATCAAAGCAAACAATAAAACAAAATCCCAAATCCTTTCAGAACAGAAAACAGCGAATAAAATTTGCCAAGTGGAAAGCCCCGTGACAGCCAGAATTCTGCCTGTCTAGATTACAGATGGTGAATATAGCTAATGTAGAATAGAGCTAGCTGTAGAAGACATGGAGAAGGCAAATCAACAAGAGGAAAGAGAAAGTGCTGCAAGTGAGGATTTGAACCATGTATTTTCTTTTTCTTATATATATTGACTTCCTGAGATGAAGCAGTTTTGCACTAGAAATTGGAAAAAAATGTTAGAAGGTATAAACAGCTGTAGGAGCCATTCATTCATGGTTAGCTACTGTCACATTGTTAAATTTCGATGCGTTACTTCCATTAGGACAGCATGTCATGTTCCCCCTTGCAAGTAACATTGTTAAGTGATGGACAATGCACATCTGTTCCCAACATGTGTAACTACACAAAATCTGAGGTTTTAAAAGGATCTACAGATGAGCTCCACTAGCTTATTAGCTGTGAAGCTCTTGTGGCATCCATGTAAAGTTAAAGAAGGCACTTCATCATCACCCTAGCCCTGATTTCTATTATACAAAGAGAACAGTCTATGCCAGAGTGTGATTGAGTACACCTGAGGTCTGGGTTGTCTTCTAGAAGTGCCTGCCTCTGCCTGTTGCCAAAGATAGAGCATAAAATAACACTCTTCTGACTTAATTGTGAGGTATATGTGAGGTACATAGGATGAATCTGGCCTCTGTACTGTGCTCAACCAGGTCCAACAACATAAAGTTTTTAAAACGCAATGATGTATAAGACTGTAGAGGAGTGTTAAAGAGAGATGTGATTTAATACTACTGTTGTGATCTGTTTATTTAGGAGGAATTTTTCTGCCAAGCATTCACATAAG